TTCATATCATTTTCATTTATATTTTATCACTTATTATATGTTATAATAATAACATAACACATATGATTGATTATATAATAAAAATTATAATGAAATTATACATATAAATAATAAACATAAAAAATAATCCAATATTTTTTTTCAATAAAACAATATTAATTATTTTGAATCATTAAATTAGACACTTTTATTGAATATTTCTAATTTTTACATTAAAAATACACCATTTTCATTCTTTTCTTCTTTTATCATCTCTTTGTGATTTATTATTTTTATATTCTTCTTCTACTTTCTTTTTATTCTTTTTATATATTTATATTCTTTTTATATTATTTGTTTTTCGTTGTTGTTTCTATTTCTTTCTTCTATTATTTATCAATTTTATATTCATTTATTCTTTTTATTTCTTTTTTATTAATTCTTGAGTATTGTATATTTCTTTATTATTTCATTTGTGTATTATCAAAATATATGTTTTATTGATTTTATGTTGAATAAAATATAGAATAATTCAATATTTTCAATGTCAAACATTCATTATTTATTGTGAAATGTTGCGTATATTTATTATATTAAATTAATGTGATGAATGAATATCAATATTATTGTTTATTTGATTTTAAAAAATAATAAATGAATATGAAATAATGAAATAAAATAATGAAATAGAATAATCTAATATTGAACAAATCAAATAAAGAATATATTGAATATATCATTATTGTTACTTTATTATTTATTTCAATTATTAAATATTAATAAATTATTATTCATGAATATTTAATTGATTGATATTTTACATTTTCATTTTCATTTAATAAATGAAATATAAATAATAAATGAATGAATAGTAATGTAATATATGAAATAATAAAAAGAAAGATAAATAATAAAGAAATATGATGTATTTAATATATAATATAATTTATTATCAAATATAATAATAATATCAAATGATGAATTATTTTTATTTCAAAATATTTTGCATCAATAAAAATGTTGCTAAATATTTTGCATCATTAAATTTTGCGCTTTTTTATTGAGCTTTTTTATTTGTTTCAATAAAATTTGCATCCTTTATTTTTTTTCTTTCTTTTCTTCTTTTATCATCTCTTTTGTTTTATTACACTTTATCTTCTTTATTTTTATATTCTCTCCTTTCTACTTTTATTCTTTCTTCATCATATCAAACTTCTTACTTTCTTTTTATTCTTTTATATCATTCATTCTCTTCTTTTTCAATTATTTGCTTTTTTTCGTTGCCATACAAAATATTTTGCATCTTTTTTTTCATTTTTGTAAAATATTTAGATGCATTTTTCTTTGCTTATTTTCGTACCCATTTTATTTCATTAATATTATTCTTATATTATTACGTTCTTCTTTATTTTATTATTCTGTTGTTTTATCTTCTATTATTTATATTATTTATTGTTTATTTTTCATGTTATTATTTATTGTATTTCATTATGTTGTTATTTTCTATCATAATACAGTTAATATGTTAAATAAATATGTTAAAATTGTTATTATAATGAAATAAAATAAAAATAATAATACAATTAATAAGATGAATAAATAATAAACCATAATCTAAATCTGTTTATAACAATTTCTGTACAACACCTTTTAAAATACTAAATGATATGAAATGGTTCTTTATTTGGAATATGTTTTAAATATTATGTGATGTTCTTTGAATTTTATTCTTTATACAATCATTCAGTTACATAAATTAATGATAAAAATAACATATAATACAAACTAAATGAGAATGATGATGAAATAATCCATGAAATAAAGAAAGATAAATACAAAAAGAAATAAAAAGAATAAGAAAGAATGAAATAATAAATATTAATAAGAAAATAAACAAGAAATAAATAATAAGAATTGATATGACAATGATAAAATAAGAAAGTGAATATGATAAAGAAAAGAATAAAAAGAATAAATTAAATAACAATTGATTGAATAAAAACTTAAAAAATGAAATAATATATCATAGAATAAATACTTCTAGAAAAGAAAGGATAATAAAAGAATAAAGAAGAATAAGAAATACAAATAAACAAAAGAATAATGCAAATAATGAAAGATAAATAAAAATGAAAATAATAAAATAAACAAACAACTAAATAATGAATGAAATAATGTTATATTTATAATAACTAATAAAAATATTAAATAAATATTAAATACAATTTTATTTATTGTATAATCGTTATAACCATTTGTTGTTTAATATTATGATACTATCTATATTTATTATTCTATTCTTTATACATTTCTTCTTATTATTATGTTTATTTTTTATTATTTTATATTTTTATCATAAATATTTTAAATAATTTATTCAATTATATTTATTTCTATTCTTTATCTTCTACTGTTGTTATTCTCTTTTCTTGATTCTTAAATACAGATTTATCTTCTATGAGTTGTTTATTTTCTTTATTACTTTCTTCAACTTCATTTTCAAATTATATCCCTTTTCATTGTAACATGTTTCGATTATGTGAATTCCATACACTCGGATCATGAACTCGAGGTAATAATTTATTTGGATAGTTGTTCATGATATTTCTCTGTGGTATATCATGAAGCTTTCTTAATGTTTCCTTAAGTAATAAATACAAAAAACAACTTCAAACTACTTTTAATTTCTTCATTCATTTGATCACCACATTAATCATTTGAATGTCCCTTTTATTTCATATTACTTTTCTATTTAGATTCTACTCTTAGAAATGTTCATCTCATCAGATGCTTTTCATTATTATCCTTTCACATTCCTTTGTTTAATTTCCTAATTACATGTTTTTATTTTCTTTTTATATTTCTTTATTCATCTCCTCTATCTGTTTGATAGTGTCTCTTAACTTTCTCTTGCTTATTTCTTTCTATTTTATATTCCCTGTTTTGTACTTCTTCATTTCTACTTTCACTTCTTTTAATTACTAGCTTCTTCTTTCTTAATTAAGTCTTTCATCTCTTACTTTATACTTAATGTATTCATATATGTATTTTGATTTCTTGTTTGAAGTTCTGTTCTTTTTTTCTTTAAATATCTTCTTTCCTTTCTTATCAAATTTTATTTATAACAAAATTGTGTTTCTTGGGATTATTTCAGTCTTTTAATATTTTAAATTTGGTAAACAACAATATGAAATGCCTACTACCAAAAATCTTTGAAAATTAGTTTGGTATATTCTAAAATTATCATAAACCATTGAACAAAATACTTATTCTTTTGTTTCTATTTCATCTTTCTTACTCTTTTATTAATTATTCTTATATTCTATTATTAATTTGTGTTTATCAAGAAGAATAAAAAAGACCAAAATAAAATAATCAATTCAATCATTTTCAATTAAATTCTTTGATTGAACATAATAAAAATGTATAGTATTACTTTTATTTATTTTAGTACTTCATACTAACATATTAATATTCGAATATATTTATAATTATACTTTAATTGTGTTTTGATTTCTTTTAATAAATACAAACTACCATTAAAAATTATCAATAATCATTATACAAGAATTGTCATTTCTTACAATTTCTTATTTGAATTAACTCAATGAATAATTAAAAATTACTTAATTAAGTGTTAATAGATTTTTTCATATATTCTTCCTAGTTTAGCCGAGATTAATCACATCCCTGAGTTATTTGTTTTTTAAAAAGAGTAATCTTTTTGTTTAACTTATCATTTATGTTTTTCTTGCAAATTGAGAAAATCACTTCTTTGCTTTATTTTTTCTTATTAATGTCTTCTCATCCTTCTTCTGCTTAATTCTTCTTTTTAACCTTTTGTTTATTTTCTATCTTAATTTTAAACATTTTCTTTTTCCTTTTTTCTTAATTTTATGAATGAGAGAAGAGAGTATTTCATTCCCACTATATTATTATGTTTAATTTTCTTTTAGTCTTACCCACACTTTAGTAGTTCCTTATATTACACCATGTAATATTCTACCATAATATCATGCTCCACCCTTTGCAGTTTTACCTAATACATTTCTAATTCAAATACACCGTCATAACCAGATAATTACCATTAAAATTGAAGTTTGAATTATATTAATGTTTGTGTGTAGTGTTTCAGACATGCCACCTTCGATATTTCAATTTTTTACAAGACAAATAAATAACATCAGAATTTCAAAAAAATTATAAACCTATTACAAACTATAATACTCTTTTCTTATACATCTTTATCATTCTGATATATAAAAATAAATAATTATCTACTTAAATTATAAGAGAATGTTCTGTTCACTAAAATAAAATAAATTATATTAAATATAAAATGTCATAACACAATATAATATAAAAATTAATCAACAAAAGTAAATTCTTCCTCCTTCAGGTTTTTATTTTTTGATTTATATTAAAGTTAGAAAGTAAATAAGTATAAAAGAAATAAAATTATGTCAAAGAGTTATGTTTTTCACTATTTATAAAATTGTCAGAGTTGAATTTATTCTACAAAAGAAAAAAAAATAATTTTAAAAATAATTTTTGAAGTTTTTAGTATAAATTAAATTAATTAATTCATAGTTTAAAAAGAATATAAATAATAAAATAAACTTCTTATTTAATTATGAAAGAGGAATTGAAAAGTTCAAAGAAAAAATCATAATTTGGGGTATAACTATTTAAAATCTAAAAATACCAATGATGCTTATTTTATTTTTAGTTACAGTTATTTATTTAACCTAGATGATAACTATCTTTTCATTAAAGATATGGCAAAAAGACTAGATAAAGTTCCAAGACTCCCAAAGGAAACTTTAACTGCTCAAACTAAAATGAAGTCAACAAATACAAGAAGAATGTATATATTAGCTGGGTGTTACTACTTAGTAACAAAAGGATGGTCATTTCTTTTTTCAAAAGAACAAAGAATAGCAGAAAAGTTACACCACTTCTTCCCTATTCAAAAGATATGGAACGAAAATGGAGTAATAATATTTGATAAAGACTTTGAATATGAAGTAGTTCAAGAAGAGAAAGAAGCCAAATTAAAATTTGATACTGAAGGAATTCCAATAAAGAAAGAGGTAACTGAGACAAGTGAAAAACCAGATAATAGGAGATTAGTTTACAATGAACTTGTTGTTATGAACATCATTAATGATTATTATATGAAGTACAATGAACTTGGGAGTGATAATAGTTTGGCTCACACAAAATTATCAAAAAATACAATTAGTAGTCAACAATATACAAAACTTCCATTAGTAAAGAAAGATGGGAAATGTATTGGTATTTATAAGAAAATAGAAGTATTAAATACAACAGGAACTTTAGTATATGACTTTCTTTGCCAATATCTAACAAATGAAAGGGGTTCTCAAAAAAAGTGTGAAGGTGTTTTTATTGGGGACAAAGATTGTTTAAATAAAACAACATATGGAAACATTCTTTTGGGATTCTCAAAAGAAGCATTTTTGGATCAAGCTATTGATGAAAGTAAATTCGATTGTTTTAATGACAAAGTTAGTTGTCCATCATTAGTATCTTGTTTATCAGTTGCTCCATGTCAACGATTAAATGAAGGTGTTAAAATTCAACCACCACAATCTCCTACTAACATTAGTAACTCAATGGAAGATAACCTATTATATAACAGTAGAGGTTCTCCTTTTGTTGAGTATCAAAGTACAGTGTTTGATTATAGTGATGAAGTATTTCCAATTAATAATGGTGAAATACTTCACCAAATTGAAGACTCAGGTAATAAAGGAGTTATTGCACAGAATAACGAGTCTGAGTCATATGTTGATATGAATAGATATAAGAATAATAAAGAATATCTACAAATCGATCATTTGTCAGATATGGGACTTAAAGAATATGGGTTTATTCAAGGTATATATTACTAATTTTGAATAAATTCATGGGTTTTAAGTAATTTTTTGTTCATTTTATGAAGAGTTTCAATATTTTAATTTTGTGTGAAAAAGTCAATTAATAGAATATCTACATTAGATTTACTTCAAATTGAGAAGTGAGTATTTGAACTTCATCAATAAAGAATGATAGTGATGTAGAGTTTAATGCAAACAAATGAGAGTTAGAATGTTCATCAACGGATATATCACAAGAAATGATATGAAACGAAAGACAAGAAATAAAGTTATGGGATAAATTACAAAAAAAGGAAAAAACAAGAAATAGAAAGAAGAAAAAAAAGAAATAAAAGAATGAATAAAATAAAAAATAAGCAATTAATTAAGTATTAATAGAACTAGCTTTTATTGTTCCTGCCTCACAGGAGACTAATCCCATCCCTTCGTCTTCTTCTTCAAACAGCTCTACAGAGTATGTTTGATTGAAGCAATATTCCATGACATCCATCATGTTTTTTATGACAAGGTTTTTTACTTCTTTCTCGATGTCAATCTCAATTCTTAATTCTTTAATTAATTTAACACTTGAGTTATTTATTAATCCATTTATTGAAATTACTACTGGAATTATTTTGTCATCTTTTATTTTTTCTATTTTCATTAGAATATTCTCTAATTCATTATACTTATTTCTTTTCTTCATTTATTCTCCATTAATATTGTGATCAGCCACAATATTCATATCAAATAATAGACTAGTTTTGTTCTTTTTATCTACTACGTATATGTCTGGTATTTTGTGGTATTGTCCATCACTTTTAGGCATTATTTGTTTGTTCAATATCATTGTAATGTCTTTATATTTGAACATTGTTTCATATGGGGGTTTTTATATTGATTATTTCCTGTATATTTTCTTATCAATCCCTCCCATATGGTTGTTTAATTGTATAAGTAATTTGAGAAAAAAATTTAATAAAAAGTCAGTTAAATTCATTTTCTTTTAATTCTTATTTTCTCCATAGAAATTTCTTGTACATAAAGGACAGTCATGTCTTCCAGTTGATCTAAACCAACCAAAAATGCATTGTTTATGGAATTTTTTTCTACAACACTTACAAGCGACATTAGGGATAGTTGTAGTTCTAAGATAGAACAATGAATAACAAATAGGACAAGCATCAGAATTATCGAACTGACGGTCTAGTTGTTGTTTCCATAACAAACAAGCGTCTATAATACCTAAGTCTCTTGTCATTAAATTCATAGTAAGCATTCTTTTATATAAATGACTTTTTGCTTCAGAAACACTAACTTTATTAGAAGCAACATTAACAGTAATCATATCAAGAGGATATGTAGAAGGGAAAATTAGTTGAGACTCAAAAACAAGTTCATCATTTTTATAAACAACAGTAACTGCTTTACCATCTAATTGAAGCCTAAGAATAAAGTCATCAGTTTCTTTCCAACTTAATATTTTTTGAACTTCTTCTTGTAAAATAAATGGACAAATATTTCTTTCAAAGAATTTCTTTACCATTTTAGGAGCACTTTTTCTTAATGAAAGACACCATTGTCTAACAACATTAGGGAATGACTGAACAATAACAAACATACAATATGAAGCTAAGATATTTAAAATTTGATTTTCATTTTGTTTAGTAAGAAGTTGATTTTCATCTTCATCTTCACCATTAATAAAAGAATGAAGTAAAGATAGTACTGACGAAAGAGTAAGAGGGACATGTTGATCAGGTAAAAGTGTATATAAATTATTAATAAATAATTCAAAATGATGTGCTTGTAAATAGGCAACAATCCATGAACGATATTCAGTAGAAGAGTCTTTAATTTTTCTTAACATTCCAAGAATGAATATAATTAAAGTAGTTTTATTTAATGTATTAAATTGACTAAATGACTCAATTGCTTTATCTAAATATTCTTCTAATGAAGGAGGTAATGGATGATATTTTTGTTGTTCGTTATCATCAAAATCAATAAAAGTTTCATCTGATTTAAAGTTCATTGAAGCACCAATAAGATAACCAGTACAAATTTTAACAATAATAGAGTCTTTTCCTTTAAGAATTTTAAATAATTCAGGAATATATTTTCTCATAGAGTCTGACATAAAATCAATTTCTGCTAATAAATCAGTTTGAAGTAATAACTCTGAAATTAATTGAGTATTTGACTTATTAATAATTGAATTGACAATAAAATCTATTAAAGATATTTTAAAACTTAATTGAATTCCTTCTGACTCTGAAGTTAATAATTTAGGTGGTAGTGAATGGGTAATTAATATTTGTGATACTTGTAAAGCTCCACGTTTCATTAAGTTAGAACTTACTGAAGAGGTTAATATTTTTAATAAAAATTGATATATTAAACTTAATGATTCTTCATTTTCTAATGACTCAAAACATAATGAGCAAGATGAAGAAAAAACATAATGAAGAATATGTAAAAATGGAAGTTCTAATTCAGAAGTAATTTCTAATGAAAAGATATATTTAAATACCATTTTTAAATGAGTTGGAAAGAATATTAATGGATATAAAATTGATAATTCTTTTAATCCTTGAGGATCTGATTGAGTATTAACCATAAAGAATTTTTTAATAATAATATTTACTTTCTTCTCTAACCAATCAATGTGTAATGGTGAAAGATATGTTGATAAAAAGAATCTAATGGAATAAGATGTTGAAGAATCAAATAAATGAGCTAAATATTCAATACTTTCTTTTGATAAATTAATCCAAGAAGAAAGTTGATTAATAATATGGAAAATTAAATATTGTTCAATTTCATTTTTTTTGAATAAATATTGAAGAAGTATTAATTGTTGTAAATGTGGAATTTCAACAGAAATTCTATTTGTTAATTTTTGATAAGAATCAAATAACCAATATTCAATATATTCATTATCTTCTTTTATTTCTTCATTATTTAAATGATATAATTTAACTAATAAAGAAAGTGTGTTATTATAATGTGGATATTCAGATGAATTAATGAATGGCATTGGGATTAATAACGGTGATTTAATATTTTGTGCATATGAAGGAATTAATGAAATAAATGATGATAATGGAAGAAGTAATTTAATATCATTAATTAATAAATTACGCAATGGAGGAATTTCAGAAGTTAATGAAATACAAAATGAAGTACAATTAGGAGATAATAAAAGTGATTTAAGCATTTCATGAATTGGTTCAATTCCAATATAAGAAATTAAAGAAGGAAGTAATTTTAATAAAACATTTCTTATAGGTTGGTGAATTGGAAGAAAAATGTCAGGAGAAGTAATTGATTTAATAATATGTAATAATAATTCTTTACTATTTATTGTTGATTTAATTAAATAATTAATTAAATCAACATTTAAGAGAACTTGAAGATGATTAATTGAATTAGTAAATAATAATTCTGTTAATTGTTGTGGAGTTAATAAACGAGGAGAAATAGAAATAATTGATTGAACAATATCTTTAGAAGATTTAAATGAATGAAGTAATAATTGAATAAGAGGATTAATTTGAAGAACAATTGTCTGAATAAATTGTTGTTCTTTTAATTTATTAATAAATAAACGAAGATAATTTAAATGATTTAATGCATAATGTTTTGGGAATAAATTGAAGAACATTTGATTTAACAAATAACCAATAGAAGTAGATGGTTCAAAAGAAATACTTTGAATAAGAAGATCTTCCATTTTAATAACATAAGACAAAAATTCATCATTAATTTCAACAGTATCATTAATAATATCAAATTCATTAATATTTTCTTCTATTGATAACATAAAAATATGTTGGAATTGTCTTACAATCATTTGATGAACTTCTTCAGTTGCTGGATATTTTTGAAGAATAAAAATAATTAAATCAATTTCATTATCATTAAAGAAATGGTCATTTTCATTTTTATCAATAATTGTTTTTAACAAATCATATGAAAATCCTTGTGTAAATTCATTTTTAATACATTTATCTACTATAAATTTCATACAATTTAAATGTATTAAATATTCTTTTTCTTCACTTCTTCTTAAATATGTTACTGCTGAACTTAATACTCCTTGAATTTCTTTAGTTTCATTTAATTTTGTTAAAAATATTCCCATTGATGAATATCCTGAATCTATCATAATTGATCCTGGATCATTTAATAATAATTTCATTATTTCTATTAATTCATTTATATTTGTATATTTAAAATATTTAATACTTTCAAAATAATGTAAAATAACAACTGCTCTTTGTGGTCCTCTTATATGACTATCTCCTATAGCTTTAAATACTCCTTCAATATATTTTTTTTCTAATTCTTTTTCTTTAATAAATGGAAGTAATCTTTTAAGTGTTGGAAATACATAAAGTGATCCAAGACATGCTGTTGAAATATATTGAATAATTTTATTATAAAACTCTTCATTAAATATTGCTCCATTTTCTAATAATGAAGTTATACATAAAAATAATTGTTTTGAATATTTTGAAAATGGTTGTAATTCATCAATTGTTTTAACTATTATATTCTTTAATGATTCAAACCGTTCCATTACAATAAAATTACATGTTATTAGTGCTGCATCAATACTTGAAAAATATACTTCATTTGTAATAGATCCATATGATTCTATTAATGATTTAATTGAATTTTCTAAATGTGATTTACCATATGAAGAAAGTTTACTAATATTAATATTTGGTAGTATCGTAGCAAGACATCCCATTCTTGAAATTAAATCATATTCATTACTTGAAACTAAACGAAGTATTTGACTAATATTACTAGTAATAACTTTTTGTCTTCCTTCAAATGAAAGAATATTCAATGCTTTCTTTGCTGCTTCACTTATTTCTTTTACTGAATCATGACAACATAAAAGCCACCATGGAATAATCTCACTTATACAAAAACTAATCATGTTTTTCCCTTGAGGAGATTGTAATATCCCATCTGATAAACAAATGAAAAGATTAAGTCTAACATTTGATGATTTATGTGTTGATAATGTTGTAAATATATTAGAAAAATGTAAAGAAAATGCTTGTTGCTCTTTCTTGGTTGAAATAAATGGTTCCAATAATATATTTCTCTTTAGTTCATCTAATGTTTTTATTATTGTTGTTTCATTAGACTTTTGAAATTTTTTCAATAAAAAGAGTGTTTCATCATTTAAAACACTACTGGCACTTATCATTTCTTGATATTTATTGTTTAACAAGCTACTCATGTTTGTCTCCTTTTTTTTAGTTTTTTTTCTTTTATAAGATTGAAGTTTGACTATGTAATTATTCTTTTTATATATTTTTTATTAGTAATATTTTATTATTTTTTATACAAAAATCTTTTTATGTTTTTTATCTCAAAATTTATTCTTCATTACATTTTATTACATAAGATACTCTTTTTATGTTATATATAACCCAAAACTACTCAAAAAATGATTTAGTTCAGATAAAAATAGTAACTCATCCAACTGAAAAAAGGGTGTGAAAAGGAAAAGAGGAAAAAAATTGAACAAAACAAAAAAAAAATGAACTGTAACTGTAAACCCAAAAAGTATGAGCGACTCTGTTAAATTAGTTGTAGTTGGTGATGGTACTGTAGGAAAAACTTGTATGTTGATGTGTTATACATCGAATGATTTTCCAAGTGATTATGTTCCGACTGTATTTGATAATTATGTGGCAAATGTTACGATTGATAAAGAAACAATTTCATTAGGACTTTGGGATACTGCTGGACAAGAAGAATTTGATTCGTTAAGACCATTATCTTATCCAGGAACAGATATTTTCCTTCTTTGTTTTGCGGTGATTTATGAACCATCCTTTCATAATTTAAAAGATAAGTGGCAACCAGAAGTTAGACAACATTGTCCAAATGCTGCTTTAATGATGGTTGGAACTAAAATTGATCTAAGGGATAATGCTGCTGAAGTAAAGAAAATTACGGACCAAGGTCTTCAAGTTATTTCTCCTGAAAAAGGTCAACAAATGGCTGATGAATTAAAATGTGTTAAATATATGGAATGTTCTGCTTTAACTAGAAAGGGATTAAAAGAAGTCTTTGAGACTGCTGTTAAATATGTTTTAGAAAACAATGCTGCTGCACCACCTCCTGAAAAAAAAGACAGAAAGAAATGTGTTCTTCTTTAATTTTTGCATTATTTTTTAAGACTTTTTATTTTTATTTGACTCTTCTTTGTCTATTAAAGTATTTACGTATTATTTTTTGAATTAATTAAAGGATCTTGTGAGTAGAAAAGAAACAGGATGAAAAGGATATTTAAGTAAATTGAAAGAATACGTCATAAAGAAAGCAATCTTATCTTCTAGCAAGCCATCCCATGAAAGCAAAGAATGCAACAACTAACATAGCAGCAATAATAAGACAGAATATGAGAAGGAAGAAGTCGAACATTGTATCGAAAGAATAACTTTTTAAGATTGCCTGACTGAATAGTAGTTCTAACAGCAAAAAAAAAGAAAAATAAAAAAAGAAAAACTAAAAAAATTATTTGAATGGCAAGTGTTAATAAAGAAACATTACAAACTCAATTAGAACATATGCAATTAAAATATGTAGGAACAGGTCATCCTGATATTTCAAAATAGTTTATTTCATTTATACATATTTTTTAATTTAGAAAATTTATTTTATTAATGTTCTAGTGAATGGATTTGTAATCAACAACGTGATAGTTATGCCTCTTATATCGGTCATCATTCGTTGATGGCTTATATTGCTGTTGCTGAGAATCAAAGTATTGGAAGGACTAGATACCAATTTCTTGAAAGAATGTGTGATCCGTGTGGCAAACCACCACCTGAAAAAAATGGGATTGTCATCACAGAAGAAGATATGAAACCACTTTGTAATTGACTGAATTTTAAGAATATTTTTCAAAGTGTAGTTGTTAAACCAATAACATTTTTTTATATTGATGCCTAAAAAACAAATAAATTATTCAATTAGTTTAATTCACGAGTCAATTACATTTATTTGATTATGAATTAAATAACAATTATATTTAAATAATAATTAATTTGTATTATTTAAGAATATTTTGTATTTATTGTTTTTCTGAATTATTTATTGTGTTTTCAAATTATATTATTTCATTCATTCATTTGTTTTGTTTAATTTAGTTCTTTTTTATTTGTTTTTAAATATAAATTAATTAAATTAAATATTACCTTACATTTTGATATGTCTGATTTGTGTATTTTCTTATTTTTTTTTTTTTCAACTTATTATTCATAGTTTATTGGCATTTCTATTATTATTATTCTTTATTACAACTTTACATTTTGTTTGTTTTGTCTTCTTTTTCTTTATATTTTTTTCTTTATTATTTTATGTTTTGTTTGTTTATAAACAATTTCTTTCACTCATTTTATTTTTCTTATGTTTATTCATTCTTTTAATTTATATTATTTTATTATATATTTCTGTTATTTCATTATTATTTCTCTATCTATTCATGGTTGTAAATATCATTGTTTTGTAAATTGAATGAATTAATACTTTTCATTTTATTATTTTATACTTATTTGATAATTTAGAATTGTAGTCAATGCATTTTCTTGTATCATCGTATACTATTTATATTTATTAATCATTCTTTATTATTTATTTTGTTTTTATTCGTCATTTTATTTATTTTCTATACCTTATTAAATTTCATTATTTGTGATTTTTATTATCCTTTATTATTCTATTCTGTGATTTTCCATAATTTCTTCTATTTATTCATCTACATCTTTTCTATTTTATTCTTTATTTATTTCTTTTTCAAATATTCTAATGATTGTTATTCTATTCTATAACTCATCTATTTCATTTTGTCATTTTCTATTCTTTCTTTTATTCTTTCATTTTCATTTCATCTTTTTGTATTGGATATATTAAAATTAATGTATTGAGATGGATATATCTTATTAATATATAATTATGAAATAATTATATATTATTTATCATTTAAATATAGTCAATGTGAATTTTGTCGTTTCTTTGTAATTTCATTTTCAAATAAGTATTTTCTATTTACCATTCTATTTTATTTATTTATTGAATTGAAAAAAAGATAATTTAATTATTTATCTTATTTATGGTATTGTTTGTATATTTATCCATTTAAATGATATTTTATTCTTTCTATTTTATTATTTTCATTCTTACTTTTCTTTATAATTTCTTCTTTTTCATTAATTGTATTATTTTATTATACTTTCATTCATAAATAATTGTATATATTTTCATTTATAACAACTTAAAATTTAATCTTTATGATTGTTATATTTTATATTCTTGTGTATAATAATTCAACCTTTCTTTTGTCTTCGTGAAAATAATTGAATATAATTCTTTAATTTTATAATTCTTCATTATATTATTTTAATAAATAATGGGTATTGATAATACAAATAATGGTAATATTATATTCAACCACTTTATTATATTTTGATTTGATTTTCAAATATTATATTTGTTAAATATTTCATTTTATTTTTCTATTTTTGTATTATATATTTTATTATTTTCATATTTATTGATTAGTTTCTTCTTTTTCTTTATTTATTTCAACGTTTGTTTTATATAATTTCTCATTTAATTTCTCGTTTCTTCTTTAATTTTTGTATAAATATTTTCATTATTTATTTTTATTTAATGTTTTTATCTGTTTATCTTCTTATTTATTGTTGTTTTTCTCTTTTTAATTCAATGGTTTCTATAATTATGTTTTCTTTTTCATATAATTCTTTATCTGAATCTTATATTCCATCATAGTCATTATAACTATGATTAATTTGTTGTGTTTTATTCATTGAAAGACTTTCAAATGTTTTAAAGTTAAAAGAATAGATTAATAAAAATCAATTTATTTATTCACTTCACCTAATATTGTTCCAACAACTGATAAAATACATAAAACCAGACAACAAAACATTGCTGTTCCAAAAACAAAATATCTCCAAATAGGAACAGGAGCATCTGGTAGTTTCATCCATTTCTTTCTATTTTTCATAATATCAACTTCATTGTCATCATCTTCTGGTGATATTGGGAAATCTGAATTGCTATTTTCGTTTTGTGAAGAATGGTTTTGTATTTCTTCTTTAATCTCATTTAATTCAATTTCTTGTTGTCCTTCTGTTGGGGTATTATTAATAGTAACAATAACATCAGCAACACCTTCATTTTTTTGAGCTTCTGCTTTAGATAAAGCAGCTTCAATATCATGTTGAGTGAATTTTTGATTTCCATCAACAACTTTATTATAAATAATATTATCAATAACTGACAATTTTCTGAAATTAGGATCACCAAATTTCTCAACTCTTGGCCATAACATAATAATACTTAAAGGACAAACATAAACTACAAATATAGAGAAAATTGCAGAAGCAACAGAGAAAATAACACCAATATTAGTAACAAAACAAGCACATAAAGTAGTAACAAATAAAATAGAACATCTAATAATAAAGATAATAACTCTTCCATTCCACAATTGATAAATTTTCCATTTCTTTGGTATATATCTCAAAATACCAGCACAAGTAGAAAAAGTTAAAGCAGGATAAGACATTAAGACTAAAATGATCATCAACATTCTACAAACAATAATTAACCAATCTCTATCTGAACTATTTGGATTTGAAAAATCATTTAAAACATTAGATGAAACTTTATCAAAACTTACATGTCCACTTACTGCCATAAATACAAAAAAGAATGAACATGTTAATACTGCAATACAAACAGCACCTTGTAATGAAGCTAATTTAACTTTCTTTGACATTCCTTTTGTTCCAACATAAATAGGAGGAATTGAAGAATGAATTTGGAAATTAGCTGTAATGAAAGGAGCCATTGTGAAAAAGTCCATAACACCACTTGGCCACCATTTACCTTTAAAAGTAGGGAAATTACTATCACTTCCATTTGAAGATTTTCCTTTAGCACCACAATAAATAGCTTTAATCATAACAGTAAATGTGACAAATACAGCAACAATAATTGATAATACTGAAATTCTGTTAAGGAATTTTACTGATTTTGGAATAATAAATGGGAAATTTAAACAAACAGCAACAAGAATTAATAAAATATAATGCCATCCACATGCTATTCCAGCAGTTCGTTGTGGATTTCCATAACATTCATCAATAGTATTATCCCATTGATCTC